ACAAGGTAGTACAAGGCAGTTACATGACATGGTACTAGCTACACGTTAACATACATATATTACTAAGCTCAACAAATAAATATTTTATTATTATAGATACGAGTTTTTGAAAATTATATTCTTTATATTTCTTGGAGATATTGTAACGGGTTTTGCAGCCTTTATCATTCTTTTTAACGTTAGTAATTAGAATTTTCTTTTTAGTAGTTGGAATTTTCTTTTTATTAGTTGGAATCTTCTTCTTAGTAGATAAAGTATTAACCTTCTTCGCTTATTTAATAGTAAATTAGGCATTCTCTTTGGTAGCCGCTGTAAGATGTAAGGGTTCTACGAGGTATACACGCAGGTAGGTCTTGGTGAAAGTGATAATATTCAGCAAAGAGGAAAAGGGAAGTCTGTGCCAGTATGGCATGGAGCTTACAGCTAAATACACAAGAGAGGTGCGGATATCGAAGGTGCTAGAAACGCCAAGGTCGAAAATGTGGTTCGTGCGGCGTACCCCAGGAGTGCACCCAGTCGGAGGGCAGGCCTGGCTTACATAAGTTCAAGCCAGACAAACACCTCTAGGCGCCAGCCCCATGACAGCCGCTTCTAGGTCATTTAAGATTTTTTATACTTTTCTACAAAATTCCTTTTTATTATTTTTGTTTTCATTCTCGTTTTCGTTATTATTTTCGTTATTATTTTTTTATTTTTTATTTTTTTTCAGTATTAAGTTGAAAAGCTTCAAGACCAACGTTAATATTAGTTTCATTTTTATTATCAGTAGCCTCGAGGTTAATAATATAATTATTAATTAAGTAATTAGGTAAGGCCTAAGAATATTTAGAGCGGTTATGACGAACGGCAGTCTGATCTGCCTAAGTGGGATAGTTGAAGGTAAAGACTATCAGTGCTGTTCGGTGAAGCCAAAGGGTTCATAACAAGTATGCTCGTAATACTGGTCTCGGTGATAATGATCTATTGACTACTGTCGAACTATCTGACAATCTGAGTTCTCCCGTAGTCCCTTTATACCTGCTCGCCCTCTGCGAGATATCTGTTTCCGGATATCCACGTAGACGTGAACCCCATAGCGTGTGGTTTACAAGCTGGCTCGATTCGTGAGTCTGGCTCGACTCCCTAAAGCCCTTGCCTGCCCAGAGCTCTTTTTCTGCCTCTGGTTACACTGCCTAGCTTACGCGTGGCTGTTGTGTACCGGTGGCCTGGTTGGCCCGTGCCCGTCATTATCAGCTCGTAACAGCGGTAGAGATTAATAGTAGAAGAAAAGGTTAAAACTACTTAAGTAATTTAAATATACTAAGACGTCAATATAACTTTATAGGTTATAATCGTCGCTTAAAATATAAGTATTGAATTAAACTCGTTTTAAGTAATTTTAATAATTTTTTTAGGTAAATTAGAATCTCAATCTGAAAATAATAAGACCGGTACTAGCCTTCTTGCTTATTAGGTTACTAGACTGTCACAGGTTGGCATTGGCTATATAGTGTGCATTCCGAGTTCTGCCTTACAAGCAGAACATCATTCTATCTTTTGTAGATTTGGCCGTCTGGGCATATGCACCCCAGCCTGTCATATAGACGAAGTAAATAAAGCTTTCTTATACTGAATGAACTTAGAAAGTATAATGATAATAATGTAAAATATTAAGAACCAGTAAATATAATAAATAACCAGTTATAATAATTGGAAAGGAATAAAGAAAATGAATAAAAGATAGATTAGATTAGGGTGGCCGAGGCGATGAGCAAAAGGAAGAAGCTGTGTGCCGTAGAGGCGCGTGCGCGGTTCGATGGAACCACGCTGCAGTACCACACATGGCCCAGTACGGATGAGAAGTCATCTCCGCACTACCTCTCGAAGGCTATGAGCTCACTCCTGGTGCAAATCAGAACGGGCAAAATAGGCTTACGGGCGTTCCTCTTCGAGAGAAGAGTGCCGGATGTGATGGCAGCCTTGCAGTTGTGCCTCTCGACTGCCATCACAACTATATAAGACCACTTGAGCGACCGAATTGCCAGCTTCGGTTACTTGTATCCTTTTGGAACATAGCCTAGTAATGTAGTGGTCCGCCAGCGCCATGACACCGGAGGTGACAACACCGTACTGCCGGGGCGGGTTAGCGAAGGAGACGTTCGAACATTGTCTTGGAATGTAGAGAAACGGAAGACACATGGTTATGGGGAGACCCAACGTGGCCGACAAACATTGAACAACTCCACGACGAACTCGAGACAGTGGCGGGGACGGAACGAATCCTTCGCTGGGCTTTACGACTGGGACGACTGCAAGAGTACATGCTGGCAGTGAAGATCGAACAAGCGAAGGAAGCAGAAGAGCTACTAGGGAATTCAGATTGATCTTTGATTCTGGAGAGCGGGAGTACGGTCAGGGGACCACGCAGCAGAATCAAAGATCGGGCCTCGGGAATGACGGTGAAGTCATACCGAGAGGAAGATAAACATCGAAGGCACGGCGTCGACACGGCGTCGTTGCAACAGAGAAACGGAGGGTTTTCATCCGGCTACGGTACGGTTTTTCCCACCGACTAAGAATGGAAGCAGTACCGCATACCCACGGGGTAGACTATGTAAATAGTTTAGCGTGATAAGACAATATATATAATATAAATGATAGAAGGGAATTTTTTTTCATTATATTTACAAAAATACTGCTATTATTTATAAATAATAATAGAATTAATACTACTATTTAAATACTGATATTAAAAGATGAGATATGGATTAGAATACTATATATGATTTATACAACAATAATAAAAGTCATTTGATTTAAGTATATTACCGCTATAATAAATAGATTTTGTAGTATAGATGCAGTATGAGAGGGGTGCAGAAGACTGTACGATACGTATAAAGTTGTACGGCGGCCAACTCTGTAACAACTTCGTACGAGAAAAAATGCAGTCCTAGAGGTCACATATAACTCCCGTCAGGGGTTCAGGGTTTTTGAAAGGCAACAACGGTACGGTACGCACGCGAAGGAGGGAGGAAAAAGTTTTTCTGTGTTACCGGACTAGGGAAAGCGCAGACAAGTTGTGTGACTTGACTTGACTTGACTTGACTTGACTTGACTTGACTCGACTGAGGGCTCCCTTTTAACTCGAGTCTTTTTTTCGCACATTGTTTCCTCCTCTTCGGAGTAAGTAGCCAAAAATGTGCGTGGGTTAAAAGGTGGAGGTTTGTGCAAGTGGCTTTATGGCTTTGCAACGGGAATAATGATCTTGTGATGTTTTATATGGTTTGTTGACCATTTTTCGTCATTTGTTCATGGAAGAGCTGTGGCTCTCTCTCTGGTGGTGAAGTGAGGGCAGAGCAGAGTATTGACAAATATTGTGTTCGCTAGAAGAACCACAGGCCAGGAACTGCCGGACGGTCCCCCGGATGGTGGCCCGCGGTGAGCTTGGATCTGCAATCACGTACTGTACTGTGTCTTTATCTGAAGCTGGCCTGGTCGAGTAAGGCTTGCTTTCGAGAGAATAGAATATACGAGAAAACACTGTACCTAAAACCTAAAACCATCATTCCTGAGTCCTGACCTGGAAAATGTGATGAGAACGTACAAACCCCCCTCTCAAGTACCAAATAATCCAGGTTTAGGTCCAGGTCTGCGGATACGGAACAGTTCATGAAGATCACGGATAAATAAAATCACAGAACAATAACACCATCAAGTCAAGGATTCTGTACCCCCCGTACCCGTGCCCGGTAAAGGGAAAGGAAGGGAAGAGTCATGACACCACGTGGATCTTCTGAGAGAGTTTGTCTAGTCTGATCGGGCCGTTTATTACTTTCTTTGAAGACGGGATTGGTTCGAAACCCGGTGAGGTAGGTAGGTATGGGCGGTGAAGAGCTGTGGTCAGGAACAAAGAAATTGAAGAAATCGAACTTGAGGGTTGATAAGGTAATGAAGAACAGCAAAGGCCGATGGTTAGATACGGTGTAGCGGCTATGTGAAGTGCGATCTTGTGCTGTTAGTATAACTAGGTATTTATCTGGTGCTTCCGGGTTTTTGTTAGAATTGTATTTCTTTTTTCTCTACGAGAGTTGTTGAGGCTCACCTCAGGACTATAGACGAGAAGAATATCACCGAGCATTAGGACCTGGTCGATTCGTATTTTGTGTTTGGATATATACTTGCTACATGATACCTAAACATAACAGTCAATGACTCTATCTACTGCATTAGGAGCCAATGTACTGACATCTCACTCTTTTCAGATACCATCCACACCATCATTTCAAATGCCCTGCTCGTCATCCACCGTCCCTCATATGGACAAGCACATGCCTGCACTCGCAAATACCGCACCTTTCCTTGAAGTTTGACCCGCTTGCCGTGTAGCACGAACTCAAAGGTGCCTGTCAACTTTTCCCATACCATACATACCGTTTTCATCCTCACCCCAAATGTCTAAATTGTGGTATCTTCTGCCAAATATGCCACGGTTGAACTTGTTGCCTTGTGCTGGCGGCACGGTTGTAATATTTCATCCCACCCTTCAACAAAATCAATGTGGCGGAGGCGGAGTCTGTTATCATCCCATCCAACCCTCATCTCATCATAGCCGTCATCTCCTAGGTTGTGATTCATCGTCCATGGCGAAACCTCGCGTTTAATCCTCCAGACCCATTCATCGTGTCGAACCTTCCATTTTGATTATCTTTGTCGCCAAACATTCCTGGTCGTATAACCCTATAGCTCCTCCATACTCTAAACCGAGACCGAATCGTGTTATCTCAAAATCCGGATACTTTACCTGTTTCCCCTCCTCCGCTCCTCCGAGTAAGCCATTATTCGACGTCCTGCATCCAACCTCCAAGCCTGCGTAATCCCGGACAAACCCAACAGTCCAGCAGCTTAACCCTCAAAGTGGAATCTTGCCGCCGTCAACATGCCGAGACCATCTCTAGGCGCGATATACCTGCGACGGTACGTGTTCGTGAAATCTTGGAGCAGAGTCCTGACGTGTCTCAAGTTCGAACGATCGCCTCCCTGCAGCTTCTCGTTGATCTTGGCCATGAGCTTGTTGGCTTCCGCATCCGTAATGGTACCAGCCGGCAGCATCCTGATTGTGCGGTCAACCCAGGTGGACGTCTCGGCGGGGAGAATCTCGAACATGCCCAGCAGAACACCACTGCCGTCACCAAAGCAGTCGCGAGGAAATGTGATCATCATGCCCGCCAAAGTCTGCTTGATGAGCGCCTCACCCTGGTTGAGCAAGAGCTCCTTGACATGCTGGCGAAGATGAGGGCCGACTGCGCCAAATTGCTGGTTCGACGAGGCAGGGTTGTCGCCGCCGTAGGTGAGAAGATCACGGAGATAATGAAGGGCAGCCGACACTGGCTCCTGCTTCTCCAGCGACAAGGCCGAGATGGCAGCCTGGAAGATAGGGGTAAAGAGGGCCGAAGGGATCAGCCTCTGAGGGTAGTAAAGAAGGGCGTCAATGAGAAGACGGTAAAAGTCCTCAATCACGTCGGGTAGATCGATGGGAGCAATGTCACTCATCATACGGAGGACATTGGTCGCTTGAGCCTCGAAGAAGCCGTAAATGCTATCAACGATGCCATCCTCGACATGCTCCCGGTCTTCTGAGAACTCGCGCAGGATAGCGCTCGACGCCCACAAGAAGCAGCCCTGCTTAGACTTCGCGAAGCCCTCTGCCAGCTTGTTAGCCAATGGCCCGAGGAGGGGCGTAATGGCAGTCCTGTAGGAGATAACCATGAAGCGCCAGCATCTGCAAATCCGCTCGCAAATCGGGACGAAGTCGATAAAATTGTCCAGGATAGTCGCCAAGATAGGGAACACTTCTTGCCAGTACCGGACAGCCGGGTTATCCGAGTTGCTTGGCCAGTACGGCACGACGTTCTGGACATAGATGGTAAGGAGGTTGATGTGATCTGGAGAGCGTCAGTCAGTACATGCGTACGTACATACGTGGGACATTCGAACTTACCCGCGAGCTCCAACTTGGAGGTGTCATCGGTGGCGTTGTTGGCCTTGGTCATCAGGCGCTGGACTAGAGGATCGCAATAAAGCTTAAGAAGGCTATATATATCCTCCGTCTTTTGCACACTAATGACGGTCGCTACACCCTCAGTCAGATCTTCCTTGCTATGGTCGCTGAGTGTATCGAGGATGGAGTTATAGAAGCCTTGCAGCTCGATGGCCTGGGGACCCAACAGATGCTTGCAGTCTACGCAGAAGTACTTGAACGACTGGGCAGCAGCGCGCAGAATCTCCTGCGAGGATGTCTGGAAAGACGCCAAAACGTAGGAGAGCTGGGGTTGGAGGTAGTCGGGGTGGGCCGATGTCCATTCGGTATAACGACCAAACACCATGATGGCCGCGAAGCGCAACTTTTCGTTGTTGATAGGAATCTGGACCAACAACGGCATAATCTCCGGCAGGACGATATTTTCTTCCTTGTCCACCAGGCGACCCAGAGCTCGCAGGGCAAAGAGCGGCGCCTCAAGTGACTGCCAATGCGGTACTGCTGACTCTGTTGCCTGGCCGCCAAACTTCTCCCTCCAAATCTTGATCGCCTCATGCACCTTTGTAAGACATTCCGTAGTACCCATCACCTGGCAGGCATCCTTCATGGTGTCGCCCATATGATGACGGAACTCACGGAACTTTTCTTCCTGTTCGCGATCTCCATCGAATAGGTCGAACTCGTTGGGGTCGTCGGATTCGGGGTACTCAAGCTGCTTGAGAAGGATGTCGACGAGCTTAGAGTAGACGTCCAAGAGCTGTACCCTAGCGTGAATGTAATGGTCCAGGGTGACGTATTGCTTCAACTCATACCAGAAGCTAAATGTGTAGTGAATGGCGTCTCTTTCCTTGTCCCTCGCACAGCACTCCAGCAGAGCATCGACCAACGGGCGGAAGTGTTGTGGCTCACGCGCACAAAGCAAGACCCAGGAGTCACCGGCATCAGCGAAAACTCGGGTAATGGCCTTGAATCCTTCGACATCCTCCTCATCGGAAAGGGCTTGGATGCGCGGCCTTAGCTGGAGGACCTTGGGAAGGAGCGCCTGGATCGTCTCGAGGTTGTCGTCCACATCTCTGGTCTCTCTGCAAATAATACCGAAGCATTCGGCAGCGGCCTGCAAGGAGTTGTCGTTGGAAAGCCCGTTGATAACAGCGTCGAGAAGAGGTGAGTTGACCACCACGTTAACCGGGACTTCGCGAAGCCACGAGGAAATGCACTCGAATAGTTGCGGGTTTGTAGCAGCAGCAGCTGGGATATTTGTTAATCAACCATATCCTAGCCGGATTCTGAGCGCTACTTACGGGAAGACTGTGCATAGTTTATGAGAAGTCCGACAACCTCATTCGCGTTGTCGGCAAGCAGTTCTGATGTTCTTTGGATGAGCTCTTCTTCCTGTTATGATCCCAAATTAGACACTAATCCAGGCTGGTGCCACCAAAGCGGCTGGTCGGGCTGGAGGCAAAGGCGAGCCGCGACATATCGATCCACATACAGACAAGGTGATTTTGCGGCCTTCCGTGACCTCTTCGGGGAGTACTCGTAGGAAGTCCAAGATGCAGGCGTGGCTGGATACATCATCTCCGAGGGCGGCAACGACGGTTTGCAGTACATCCTTCCATGACTGCATCTGGATGGCTAGGATGGCCAGACACACGCATAGTTGAACTCGGACGGGCTTGGGGCCGCTGGCGAACTTCTTGAGGAGGACTAGGATCTGGTTGCGCAAAGCAACATGTTCGCTTTCGGGTATCTGGGTTGCGAGGTCGTAGGTAATCTGGCGATGGCGAATGTCAGCGATGCGCTACTAGCAAGCGCGGCGGTATCGTCATGTTCCAATGGGTATTTAGTACCTTGCCCTTCAGTGTCGTTGCTGCGAAGAGTTGCGCCTCGGCTTCGGGAGAGCCCTGCAAGATCGATATTGTGGTAGTCCAAGCTTCGTTCTGCAGTCGGTTGAACAATACGGGTTAGTAACATGCGAATCATAAGTAGACTGTGGTCGAAAGAGCTAGAGCACAACTCACCGACTTCTGAAACTTTTGAAGGTAGTCCATGGCGGCCTTCTTGTTGGTGGAGTCACCACTCCGCATCGTCAGCATGGCCTGCAGGATATTTGGGGTGGTGAAGCCATCGACGGCGCCATTGGAAGCCATATTGGGCAGCTCGAAAATGTGTATGATGTCTTTTATCGATTCCGAATGTGGTGGTGGAGAGTGTTGCGACGCGGCGGTGTTGCAAGTGGAAGCTATTGCTACTTAGGTGGTTCGCGGGTCGCAAAGTGGATGATCAGCCCCTCCTATTCGATGCGAGCGTTGTCCGACTTATCGGTCTTGCGACGCGATGAAAGGTTTCAAGGCGAGGAGCTGAGGTTGCGCAAGGGGTATATGAAGCTCGAGAGAGGTCGCAACAATGAGGGACTGAGCGGTAATGTAAGGTGTCGCCGTGGTGTCAGGATTTCTGAAAGCTGAATGTTGCCGGCGACGATTTGCTCTTTCTGTCCAGAAAGAAAAACATCCCGCCAACAATCGAAGAACGTCAGGCTGCCTGACACCGACTGTGGGTGGAGTAAACGGCGGCGGACAGGCGGGTCAATGAAAGCATGGAGATGCACCGCCATAAGTGGGACAAGCGGGAGGGGCTCATGCTGTTGCAGATGGAAGAATCAGAGAGAATTTCTGTGGCTTGAAAGCCGCTAGAGACAAAATGCCAAGGCATTGTGACATGAAAGTGTGGACCCAGAAGCATATAAACGCACGGACCAACTGAGCAGCTCCCGTCCCCGGTGCTTGTGAAAACATGGGCTCCACCGCCGGAGACAGGCAAGGTAATTCGACTTGGGGAAATTCATTGAAGTCACGTCCCGCCGTGAGAGAACGCGCCTGGGAACAACTAAACAAGCCAAGCCCATCCAACCAACAACGAAGAATATCCACGACTTGATTGCGATTTACTAGCCTCCGCATTTCCCATCAAACTTCTATCCCAAACAAGAACCTAACCACCAAACCACAACAAACCCCGACTTTCAACATGACCGGCAGAGGTGGTGGCGGCAACCGCCGTGTTCTTCTTCCTCCCATCAACTTCCTTTTCCGTCTTTTGCAACAACACTCGACCGTCCAGATCTGGCTTTACGAGCAGCTTCACATTCGCATCATTGGCACCATTCGTGTAATTCTTCCCAATGTGGCTTCCCCGGAATGCAAACATGATCGCTGACATCTTTGTCTTTTAGGGCTTTGACGAGTTCATGAACCTGGTTGTGAGTAGCGGCGCAGGTCCGAAGCGATAGGAATACCGATCCTAACCCGATTTACAGATCGATAATGCGATTGAGGTCAAGCTTGTCTCCAAGACCAACGAGAAGGAGGAGAGGAGGGAGCTTGGGGTACGAACATCCTTGGTGCTGGACGAAGTCGCTGTGGAACAAATAGGTGGCTAACTGGGTTGCAGCAAATCCTCCTCAAGGGCGACAATGTCTCGCTCATCCAGAGCTACTCCGGGTGAAGAGCTCAACACCTGAACGAGAACCGGTAATCGACGATGCATTTTACGCTGGGACCTACATCGAGCGACGAAAATCAGCAGATCTAGAGCTGTACATAGACGGCCCACAAAGACGTGGTGCGCGGCCTTCTTCACACACCAAACGACACCGAATCTACGGAACGAGATACCAGGGGAAAAGCGATTGGCCTAGGCGCACAGGAATGTCGACTATATGTATTTGACCAAGGGGGCTGCAGTACGGGACAAGGACGAATATCATGTCATGGAACTATTTTTCTGCAGCAGGAGGGCTCTTAATCTCGCCATTCCCGAGTATCAGGCCGTCCAGAGGTTGATCGAGAGGACCAACAGGTACCGACCCCTCGGACGGAGAGGATAGAAACTGCTCAGACAGGGCTAAGCCATAAAGCAATACAGGGGTTTCCTGCTTCCCCAGCTCGACGGACTTTTGGTTGTGCCGGTTGATGAAGTAGTCGTAGAAGCCTTTGCCGTGCCCGAGCCGTCTGATGGCACCCGTCTCCGGGTCAAAGTCGAAGGCCACACCGGGCATGAGGATCAAGTCAAGCAGAGTCTGGTCAGAGTGGTGGGCGTCGGGACCTCCAAACACCCTCTGCCGCTCATGGACGGTGGCCGGGTCGATGCTGGGAATGCCCCATCTGTCCGGCTTGAGGGACTCGTAGTCGTGGAGGTCTCTTAGGCGAACCATGTCCATGACGCGGGGTGGGAGGTTGGGTGAGGCCAAGGGGTTCTTGTGCAGATACGGGACGAAGACCTCCTTGCCGGACTCTAGGGCGTGTCTGACAATGCCGTCGGTCTGGATCTCACCCGTGGGCATCGACAGAAACACGCTGACCCGCTTGGCCTCTGCATATGGCTTGAAGTTCCTTAGGGTGTTGAAGACCACAGAGCCTGCAATCTTGAATTTAGTTTGCGCTGGTAATACCTTTGCGGTCCATGGAGCTGTCTTACTCTGTGACTCGACGGCTTCGTGGGAGAGGGCGCCGAGCTTGTTCTTCATGGCAGAGCGAATCTGCTGTTTGGCGGCGTTAAGTGAAGCCATTGCGAAGGTGTCCTCAACCATACCACTCATCGTCCAGTGATTACTGAATTAGAATAGGTAGGTAGTTGGAGGGAGCAAGCTCGGAGTTCAAGTGTGACGCTTTCGGCCAAGAGCTACCCGAATGCGAGTCTCCGCGGAGGTACCCAAGTTCATCTTATCTTATCGATCAACCTCCGACATGCGGGCGATGACGGCAGGCCGGCAGGGTGCCTGGAATTGGATCTTTCAGCCTCCCGCCGGCGTGCAGATGCGCTGTACTTTTAGGTAGCGCGTCATCCCCATCCCGTTCGTGTCCCCGCCGCTTTCATCCTGCATCTTCCCCCGCGACGAATTGGGGAATAACATTTTCATCCAAGCGTCCATGGAAAGACTGGACATCTCTTCAACGTTTGGAGAAATGGAAAACGCAACCTTGACGCCAACCTTTATCTCCTTTCATCGAGCCCGTCCATCCATTGCAATTCCGCAATGACAATGACTCGCCCTTCCAGGCTATAGCACTTTTCTGATCATGTTCTAGACCTCATACATACTTGGGTACTTGGGTACTCGCTCTCGTCTTTGTTATTTTATGTTCTCGGCAGAAAAAGAGGACGCTGGTCTTCGTCTCTTCTCCCGTTGCCGCCATCCCTCAGCTCCGCCTCGTCGTCCATTGTTGTTGACTTTCGTTCGACTCGAAACATCACCGGTTCGGAACACATTCCGGTTGCAACTCGAGGATAGACTGCTACGAGTCTACACTACATGTGATACCGGAACGAAACGTCGAAACCAAGCTCTGTGGCAGGCTCCATCAGGGCAACCCGGCACAACAAGGATTGGACTTGTGCGGACCCCCACCCGGGTATCGGATCTGTGAAAGGCTCGTCGTTCGTTGACTCGTTACCTGCATCTTGCCCCAGGCGGGCAGGAACACAGATTCCGTATGACGCCGGACAAAGATAGAAGTTCCTCCCCAGACATACCTTTTCTGGATGATTCTGATCATCATCCAAGCTTCCCGCTTCGTCCACTGCTACATCAGGCTGTAGGACCGGCCGACACCAATTCGTCAACCACCACTCGAGGGCAGCCGACGCCGACTTCCTCACACTCCTCGCAAGACTTTGAAGTCTTACCCATTGGTTCGACACGAAATCAGCAGCGTGTGAATACGTCGCCTGGGCGGGACGAGCCCGTCCAGACTTTACCAGGCAATGCCCATGGAATACACGATCAACTTGACCTACAAGAGGGAACAGGCGGCGACAGCGAAGAAGGCGACGACGATAGCATACCCAGCGAGCCCGTATCTGAAGAATCCATGACTAGAAGACAACCTTCTCTTCTCTCCGTAGTGCAAGGGCGAAACAGTCCCTCCTACGGAGCCATATCCTCTGCGCCAGCCCTTACGACCGGCGCTCTCCAATCCGAAGGGGGCGAACCATCCGTACGCACCGAAACCCGCTCCGAGAGAGGTGCTTCGTTTCAGACAGGATATGACTCGACACGAAGTCGTTCAACGGCGGGTAGTCGCGATGCTTCTGTGGGACGATCTTCCGGGCGCTTTTCCCTGTCGCTGCGGAAATCCGGGGAATGGGGCGGCTCGATGACAATGCGAGGAATCGAAGGTCGTTTTGGGACAGAGGTGCCGCTTGTCAATGACATTGACCCCGATGACCTGGAGCAAACCTTGGAGGAAGAGTCTCTGCTAGCTTATTCCGATGAGTTCGATGAGAACGATGAGAACGCGCAGGACCCGGCAGACAACTCTCCCTACGCCCAGGTGCGGGCTTCAGTCGCGGCCACCGACAACACGACGCTTTCCATCAACACTCCACGGATGTGGGGACGTTGGCCGTACTATTTCCTTTCTCGGATCTTCCACCAACTTGTTCTTTTCATTGAGATACCCCAGTGTTGCGATAACGCCTGTTATCGCACTGTTATTAACACACCCACTTGGCCTCCTGTGGGACTTTGTCCTCAAAAGGCCCGACGACCCCCCGGAAGAGTATGTGGATGGATGTCGGACAAACAGTGCCAACACTCCGATTCACAGCCCGACCAATGAGCAACCCCATGTCTTTGTTCCTTGGGAAAAGAGAAGCAAGCTGGACCGGCTGCGACTATGGCTCGCCCAGGGTCACTGGAACGAGAAGGAACATAGTTGCGTCTATGTCAGCAGCAATGTTTCGTTCGGCTTTGCCTTTGCGACAGACGTTATCGTTGAGCAGACCAAGTTCTACAAGCAGGATGCTCCACTACTCTACCAGATTCTCCTCACCATCTCTACCCAAATCATGGGCTACACCTTCGCCGGCCTCACGCGGGGATTCCTTGTCCGGCCAAGCGGCATGATATGGCCCGGTACTCTCATGTCAGCCGCCATGTTCACTACCATCCACAAACAGGAGAACCATGTGGCGAATGGGTGGAAGATGACCAGGTGGAAGTTCTTCCTGATCGTGTTCCTTGCCGGTTTCCTCTTCTACTTTGGGCCCGGCCTCCTGTTTCCCGCCTTGAGCTATTTCAACGTCATCACCTGGTTTGCTCCCAAGAATGTTGTTGTTGCCAATCTCTTTGGCGTCGTATCTGGCTTGGGATTGTTTCCCATGACATTTGACTGGGCCCAGGTCGCCTACATCGGATCGCCTCTTCTGACCCCATTCTGGGCGGCCATGAACGTGGTTGGTGGTCTTGTCGTTGTCATGTGGATCGTTGCACCTATCGCGTACTACAGCAACTGGTTTTACTCCGCTTATATGCCGATATTATCAGCAGCCGTTTTCGACAACACGGGCAACGTATATGATGTCAGCAAGGTCCTTACGAAGGATTTCGTTTTTGATCGTGAAGCCTATTCAAGGTATAGCAGAGTCTTCCTTCCGATCACATATGTCCTCGGCTATGCCGTTCAGTTTGCCGGCCTTGCCTCGCTGCTTACACACACCATATGCTGGCACGGCAGAGACATCTGGGCTCAGTGGAAGCAAACTCTGGGTGAAGTAAAAGGCGCAGAGCCCAAGGGCTCGTATGAGCCGGTTGTAGAGTCAACCGAGGGGCTAAATGGGACTTCGAGCCGGCGGAGCGCGAGATCAAGCTTTACTGGATCTCACTCGAGCACGGAGAATATCATGAACAGGGAAGACGTACACAACCGGCTGATGAGGAGGTACAAGGATGCGCCGATGTCGTGGTACCTCATCACTTGCGTATCAATGCTGGCCATTGGCATGTTTGTCGTTGAATAGTAAGTCATGAAGGCCTGAGATATTCAAACATCTCGATCTAACCCACTCCTTAGTTATCCGGTCCATTTGCCCTGGTATGGCCTACTTCTCGCGCTCGGAATCTGCAGCATCCTGTTCATCCCCATCGGCATCATCATGGCGGTCACCAATCAGCACAGCAGCATTTACCTGATCTGCCAGCTCGTGGCCGGCGCCATCTTCCCCGGCCGACCCGTTGCAAACATGGTCTTCGTGACCTACGGCTACATCTCCTCGGCGCAGGGCATCAAGTTCGCCGCTGACCTCAAGCTCGGCCACTACATGAAGATTCCGCCTCGGATCCTTTTCTCAGTCCAAATGGTAGCCACCATTGTCTCGTCCCTCACGCAGATTGGCGTCCTCAACTGGATGTTCAAGAACGTCCCCGGCCTTTGCACGCCGGAGGCCCTGAACGGTTTCACCTGCCCGATTGCCCGCGTGCACTTCAACGGATCGATCCTATGGGGCGTCGTCGGACCTAGCGAGTTCTTCGGCCCCGGCGCAACCTACCGGCCGCTCGTATGGGCATTCGCCATCGGAGCCGTCCTTCCGATTCCCCTGTGGCTGTACGCACGCAAGAGGAAGGATAGTATCGTGCGGAAAATCAACCTCCCCGTTCTCTTTGGCTCGCTGGGCTGGATCCCGCCGGCGACGGGCCTGAACTTCTCGGTGTGGGCGCTCGTTTGCTATGTTTTCAACTACGTGATCAAGAACCGGGCGCAGGCGTGGTGGGCTAAGTACACGATGACGCTTAGCGCGGCGCTGGATTCGGGCCTGGCGTTTGGTATCGTGGTTGTTTTCTTCGGGTTTATCTATCCCGGGGTGACTAAGGGGTTTAGTTGGTGGGGGACGGAGGTGTATAAACAGGGGTGCGACTGGCAAGCTTGTGCGTACCAGGCGGTGCCGGAGGGTGGAAGGTTTGGGCCTGATGTTTGGTAGAGGAGGAGGGTATTCGGGCTAGATTTCTGGGGATAGGAATGTGTGGCTTGGATATGTTGATGAGGTTATGATTTGGATATAGGGAAAATATCAGGGATGTCGATTGAATAGATGATATAGCAAGAGCATTTTTGGTGTATGTATTTACAACGGATGGACATACAAGGGAACATAAGCTTGCGATGGTATTTATGGTTGGTATAGGACATGGGGAAGCTCTTGGGTGAATCCGTAGGGACAGGTCCGTATTGAAGTTACTGGATAAGTTTTAGAGTGATAGATATGTAGAACTGTCTTAGCTCCGACTTGTCACTGTTTGGCATTCCATCTCACCAATGCCCCAACGGTCCAGACACCCGCCCTCACCGATGACAAACAAGGCGGCACCTTTTCAAGCACTTTATGCGCGATCAGCGCAGCAAAAGGTGCCACCTTTTTTGTTATGACCGAGCCGCCCAAGGTCCGCAGACACTGAATGCTTGGCAAACGGATATCAAATTCGGGACCTGCAGTTGGACTGCGGGGCTCCGCGCGGGAACGTCGCAAGCCAAATCGATCAGCGGTTTAGCTTCTTGGCGCCGCCGGTTCTGACTCCGACTTCTTGGCATAAACTCGGCACCGCAGCGATTCCTCACCTTGCTCACCTCATACCTCACCTCAGACCTCACCTCCTCTCTGTTCCCCTCTCTAATGTCTCAGCCCTCACCGACGACCCCTGACCCATTGGCTCGTGCGTATCCATGTTGTGAGACGACACGAGATCGGCAGTTTGACAACACCCAACCATCCGACGAACCAACCACGACATGAAGCACACTGCACGTGGTGATTGCAGAGTCAACTCTACATATGTAATGGGACCTGACTCTTCCTCTTCAGGTCGCATCTCTCGCTTGTTCTTTGTTACTTGAGTTCTCCTACCTTTTGAGACGACTGTTTGTTCAACTGGGTCAACCAAGATAGTCGTTCAAGACCTCGACTCATGGCGACCGGGACGTGACACAGCAGGGTCTATTCGATTGACTTCACGGCGGGACATCGGGGGGCCGATAGACGGGAATCATCAACAGTGAAATTATATCGCATTGATATATGACGAACCGCTTCAACAACAATCACCCTTGCGCATAACTCGTACATCTCGGAAGAACAACAACTTCAGCACTGACCAAACCCGCCTGGCTGGCCATCAAGGTACCCGCAAGGATATCCTATATATCCCCATTTACATCGTCACCTTCCGGTAAAATCAACAGTTAGGGAGACCGATTCCGCGCAGCGTGGTATCCGCGAATACACGTGGTGACGGGAGAGGTGGAATACGAAGTCGAGGAACCAAGGGGGAATTGGAATTGCTTCACAATTGCGCCGAGTAGAACCGACCATGAATACGGCTACCAAAGGAACAACGTCCAGAGCATCCTCTGCATTTACCTCCCTTTTCAGGAGGGTGGGAGGATGGGGCTCACAACATAAATACTCGCCACTCGATCACGATGGTGAAGCTTCAGAAGGAGGAGGAACTTCAGAGAGTCAGACTCAGGCATTGCTTCCGAACGGCGAGTCGACAGACGACGACAACTTGGACGAGGAAAGTCAACTTCAACCCCAAAAACAGAGAAGCTTGCTTTATCGGTTGGTTTGGGGAGATCCTAATAAGATCTTTGTCAAACTCGTCATGCTTCTCTTGATGGTTCCGCTGTTCAGCTACCTGGCTGCTGCTTCAATGTGAGTTCTCTTCTTCCTTGCCCTATCTTCACGTCCGAAATACTAACCATCTCATCAGACGGGTACTCTCTCCAAATCCAGTACCATGCGACACTCCTGAACTTGGATACCAATGTGACCGGAAGACCACTCACACATGGGGTCAATACTCGCCCTTCTTCTCAGTTCCCTCGGAAATCTCACCCTCCGTCCCCGATGGCTGCCGCCTGACCTTCGCCCAAGTCCTCTCCCGTCATGGCGCCCGCTTCCCGACCCCCGGCAAGGCCGCCGCCATCTCCGCCGTCCTTACCAAAATCAAGACATCTGCCACTTGGTACGCTCGCGACTCGAAGTTCATCAAGAACTACAACTACGTCCTGGGCGTAGACCACCTCACCGCCTTCGGCGAGCAAGAGATGGTCAACTCCGGCATCAAGCTCTACCAGCGTTACTCCTCGCTCATCCGGGACTACACCGACCCTGGATCGCTCCCCTTTGTCCGCGCCTCCGGTCAAGAGCGAGTGATTGCCTCAGCCGAGAACTTCACTACCGGGCTCTACTCCGCTCTCTTAGCCGACAAACAACCTCCCTCCTCTGCCCTCCCGCTTCCACAACAGGAAATGCTCATCATCTCCGAAGCCCCGACAGCAAACAACACCATGCACCACGGCCTCTGCCGCGCCTTTGAGGATTCCATCACCGGCGACGAGGCGCAGGCAAAATTCATAGCCGCTAACTTCCCGCCCATCACCGCGCGCTTGAATACCCAGTTTAGGGGTGTAACCCTCTCCGACACGGACGTCGTCTCGCTCATGGACTTGTGTCCGTTTGACACCGTGGCATACCCGCCCCCTTCCCTCACCACCGCCTCTTCCCTCTCAGAGGGACCCAACAAGCGGATCTCCCCCTTCTGCACCCTCTTCAACCCCCAAGACTTCACAATCTACGACTACCTCCAATCCCTAGGCAAGTACTACGGCTACGGCCCGGGTAATTCCCTGGCTTCCACGCAAGGCGTAGGCTACGTCAACGAACTTCTCGCCCGGCTCACCCGTTCCCCAGTGGTCGATAACACGACTACGAACTCCACTTTGACCGGAAACGAGGAAACTTTCCCTTTGAACAGGACCGTATACGCGGACTTCAGCCACGACAATGACATGATGGGTATCTTAACCGCCCTGCGCCTCTTCGAGGGTGTGTCGCCCATGAGCAACGAGACGATACCTGAAAAGTATGGCAAGACGGGTGATGACGGATTGACGGAAAAAGATCTGTTCAAGGTGGGCTGGCAGGTGCCGTTTGCGGGGAGGGTGTATTTCGAGAAGATGGTTTGTGATTCTGATGCTGATGGGGATGGGAAGATTGATGAGAATGAAGAAAAGGAAGAGATGGTGAGGATATTGGTTAATGATCGCGTGGTTAGGCTGAATGGGTGTGGGGCTGATGAGGAGGGGAGGTGTAGATTGGGGAAATTTGTGGAGAGTATGGAGTTTGCTAGGAAAGGGGGGGATTGGGGGAGGTGTTTTGGGTAGAGACAGGTAGGATTTGAAGATGGGTTAGGTAAGGTACGTAGGTTATGTATGGACTTGGGATGGATAACATACCTCTACAGTCTTTCCTTGGGCGGAGCAGGATATGGCCCGAGGAAGACAGTGAAACAAACGCCCACGAGTTCACATCTTCCAAGGTTAGAAAGACCTGAGATGGATGGCCTCATTGTTCTCAAGGCCTCGAATGCATTGTTTTCGAGGTCTCATTGCTCTCGAGGCGTCAGTACTTTCAAGACCTCGGTTCATTACTCTCCAAGCCTCATTGCTCTCAACACTTCCCTATCGTTCCCGTTGCTCCCAATGTCTCTTCATTGCTCCCATTGCCCCCATTACTCAAACAATGTAGTAAGCAAGCAAAGCGAAGCAAAGCAAAGCACACCTCTGCTATGTTAGTAGGGCAGAGGTATCCTGCCTGGCAAGCAAAAAACTATGACACGAGCGAGCGAGCAAAGACCACTATCCGACCATCAAGTCAATACAGTATTGCAACCCGTTGTATATATACTTTTCCCAATTCCTCCTTCCACTCGTAAAACGTATTCCTACCTGTACACATACATGTAGACATCTTTCTCTTGGGCTTTATATATCCCACTTGATCCACTGGATGTGGAGGTGGAGGTGGAGGTGAAGACCCTGAGAGTGTTGGATAGCGGCGTCCCTCCTTGTTCACAGCAGCATGAGTGCCACTAACGGCAGACTTATTGACTACCTGATGTTGATGTTGATGTTGATGTTGCACTCTCTCCGCTAGTTAGTTTCCATTTCTCTTCCATTTGAGATCTTTCTTCTTGTCCACACTTTTGGTCATCTTGTATGGGAAGGACTTCTTGTTGCCGAGTTGTAAGTTTTCCGCAAATGCCGGCTTCTTCTCATCCGCTTTGACAAGACCCAAATCAGGGTTGTTGTCATCCACCATGTCTGTCTGGGGTGTGTTCTCCGGTGTAGTCGTTTAGGACTGGAACAGTGCAGGGCGCCAGACCATCGTTCCTCGTCCGAAAGCCTAACGCCAAGGATAAACCTTCTCAGCTAGGGAAGTTGAACAGAATAAAAGTACCAATAGATAGCCTTCGTCTGAGGCATCCTCCAAGTGTCCTTCTCTTTTCGGTAGATCTTGTTTGGAGTGTTTGTGTGTTTTTCGAACGATGCTTCAAGGCCTTCGAACACACGAGGTTAAGTGAGATTGTCATTTGACGTTCTTCTGCCAGCTTGAAGCAGTCGGTATGCCATCAGAGTAGCACATTCCCTCTGGCTCGAATTCATCTGTATGGTTGAAGAGGCCATCTTCCGGATTGTGACATTCAACTACTCACGATCCTCCGCATGCATCTCCTTCTCCAGGTTCTCAACGGTAAGCTTTCCGCTCCCCGCCGGACATAGAAACAAAAGGATAGGCTCTGCCTTCCAAGTCTCCCCGTTGCTGGAAGGCATACTCAGCAGCATCCAAGTCAATTTTGTCATCACAGCCATCACGGTAAGATAGTATTCTCAACGTCTTCGCTTCCCATTCAGCGGTACGGTCTGTGACACGATACGTAGAAAAACACTCCAGCTCGACCTGGGTTTAAGTACTAGTAGCGTTGGTCAGATATTCTTCTGTTCAGCCTTGTCTTGAGCTTCAATAGCGTCGGTCAGAGTCTCGATAGACTCGAGCAGAGTGTCGGTTTTAGTCTTCCTTTTGGGCTTCGTCACTTCGATTTCGGGGCGTTAAGGACGGGAGTCGTCCAAGCTTGCCCGTGACAATGCATCTCTCCTGCAAGAATCAGGGTAAGGTTTGTCAAGACTTGATTAAGTGGGCGGAGTACGTATCCAACTCACCGCAGGCATTTTGACAGGACCGTTACATGCCCAGTTATACGCATATAACTTGGTGCTGGGTCACCCGTTAACAGCTGAACGTCTGTCAATAACTTTGGGGTTCCGATGTACTCTTTTCATACCACTCTACGGCATAGATTCGCTTGTTCGCCTCGCGTTTTTCAATTCTTTTTATCCCGGATGTCCTACGATGAAGTCGCGGAGCTAGAACGGCTCGACGGATGATACGGAACAAGAACCCTCACGACTCCCCACTCCGAGTTCCTGGTCTGGGTATGACTTCTCTTGTACTTACATACTGACCTTGTCCCACCAGTTAGTATCTCACTGGGCTGAAAATGATATCTTTCGTCTTGTCCATCAAGAAGCAGAAGGTACAAGTTGACAAAGAGATAAGGGGAAAGTTGACACAGTGATGTTGTGAGTGGTACACATTTGAGGTGGTGACAGAAAAGAAAAACAAGAAGGTTGCAAGTTGACTTGCCAAGCACATTTTGTACCTGGACAAGGTCAAGACGGCAGGCACCCGCTAAAGCTTGTCGCTAACAGTGGGTCTTCACTCCCCCTTTGGGCTTGGACAACCAGCAGGCTTGGCTGATCTGGATGTTTGCAGCTGCATTCATCCTTGTCGTCTTGGCAGAAAGTCCCGCTCACCCACCGGTTGTAGGCAGGGAAGCCCCGCTGACGACAGTCCATTCCCTCTTCAATCCGGTGGTCGCGGAGCTATCAACTTTAACACCCTCCTCCACCATTCGCTGTTCCTTTTTCCTCCCGGTCCGGAATCCGTATCACCCGCGGAGTACCTACACACGATAAATAAAGCCTCATCCTCTTTCCGCGTGTCAAATACCGAGAAACAGTCAGCAACGGTACCTCAGATCCAGGTACCTGTACTCCACGGCCCCGGGACCCAACCGTCTGCAAACTCCACGAAACGGCTGCCTTCTTCCCGGTTTTGCGCCAGCCTCTCTTTTGCGACGCTTTTACCCACAATCACACACCAACCGTCAAACGAGCAACCGCAAAAATTATCTCCGACCACTTCACAACCAGGAACAGATGCGAGCGGAAAACCACGTACGATCAACGACTCCATTGACTTCCTCTTGATCTCGATCCGTCCGTTCCGCCCGCCTCCATTCTTCTATCAACACGCAGCAGCCAAGCGGAAAAAGGAACCGAGCCAACGAACTCGACCTTGACCATGGGGCCGGCTAGCGTTATTATCCTCTGCGTCTTCCTCGCAGTGGTGGCTGCCGCCATCTTTTACATCCTAATCACACGCGTCCAAGCAACACGTCTGGGAGTAAGTCATCCCTCTACCTATTTCCAACGTCGCCTGGTCTTGCATATATCTTGACTCAAATTCCAACTCCTTTTGCGAACGAATAATGATAGACAACCGGACTGACATCGTGTTACAGCTCCCACCACCACCCATTACCTCGTATATCCCTTTCTGGCCCGAGCGCTCCAACTCGCTTCCCTACGCTAACAACACCTCTTCTTCTTCCGGTGGTATCAAAGGATGGTTCGGCAGGTTCAAGAAGAACAACAATCGCACTGCGGCAGGTGCCTACGAGCCTTCTGGCGGTAACCCCAACGCCGCCCAGAGCCGCGGCTTCGGACCCCTCGATCCGGATGAGGCATGGGATGCGCGCGTTGGACATGAGGCGGATGGCTATGGACCTACATACTACGAAGAGACGGAAATGCAGCCCCCTCGGCACAACAACCTCGGCGATAATACCAGTTACGGAGGTAGCAGCTACCAGATGAACATCCCGACCAACCCAGACACCGCTCAGCCTGGCATTAGCAACCCCTTCGCCGATCCCGATGAGGTTGAGAGAGGCAGGAGGAGGAGCCGTTCTCCTGGCCCGGTTGCAAACAAAGGATTGAGTGCGCCCGCCTCCCAAAACCCGTTCGATGATGCTGCCGCGGATTCCGGCAACGCTGCCATGAGAGGTGTCAGCCCCCGTCCGATTGAGGGCAGCAGAACCTCAAAGCCGATTGGTCACAACAATGGCGAGCCCGAGAGCCCAGCAGAGAGAAGATCGATCTTCAGGGAAGACGTTTGAGGTAGCGATGACCTAGGGGATGGGTGTTATTGGCGGCACAAACAAAGAATTAAGAGGAACCCTTGTGTGGCCTCCAATCCCTACGAAAAGCACGACGGAAAGCACGAGGAAATGGTGTAAAGAGGTGTTAAGGCGCGGCTACATATTTCATGAGTGGGCCATTATTTTTTGTGAGGGAAAGGTATTCGGGTAGCTGTTAACGGACACCGTTGTCTTGTTACCCGGAAAGATGGCATGGACAACATTTGGATTTGGATGCTTCATGATTTCTGGGAAGGGCGGCTGGTTGGGAGTTGGGACACGGGTCTTTTTCTATCTGTGTGTGTTCGATTACTTCCGCAAGAGTTACTTGAGAATGAAGAAGCCCTACGATAAGCAACGTACCGGTTGCCAATGCCAGTCAAGGGACGAGAATTCAAAGCCACATATGCGCCAACATGGAGGGAGTTTTACCCACGACCAACCGAGTTCTCAGACACAAAGACCGGCACGCCTTGCATTCCAACACAACAGCTCTTCCAGAACCAAGACAGAAACGCATATGACACGGCCCATGCATTATTCGATCGCATCAAATCAATCTCCTCGTGCGTTACCAAACTTGCGGCCGTCCAATGTCTCGGTCGGGACATCGGATGATGGGATGAGACCGAAAAGAAAGCATGTTTAAGACCCCACTTCGGCCGCAGCCCCACCTTCGCCGAGCTGGCCGAGCCCCTGAATGGGACGGACCAACACACGATGACATGGAAGCTTTGGTGCTCTCCACCTCCCCCGCGCTTGAAGCTTATGTACCCCGAGTTTCTTAAGAGCTTCAACCAACAAGGTTCTCCTTCTGATATATCAGTTTTCTTGAAACTTCTCTTTCCCAACTGTGCAAATAGCTTCTCGCCTATATACCACAGACCCTTCACGACGTTGTTGTCGATTAATCTTGTCTTATTACTGTACCATCATAACTCGAATTTCTAATAGCTACGGCGACTACCATCAGCATGTCCGACATCAACCTTCAAGAAATCCATGACACCCTCGTGGAGGTCGCTTTCGAGGCCGGCAGAATGATCCTCGCCGCCAACCCGAACAACATCGACAAGGGTTCAAAGATGAACTGTACGTGTGCTTCTCCTAATCTCCCGAGTCCTTCCCCAGCAGTTACCTATTCGCTCTTGACACTCACCCTCATTTAACTAACAACCCCCCCTTTTCCCTCCCCAAAACAGCCGCCGACATAGTAACCGAAACCGACCAAGCCGTCGAACGCATGGTCTCTAACACCCTCCGCACCAAATACCCTTCCTTCTCCTTCGTCGGCGAAGAGACCTACGTGGCCGGCGAAACCAAAGTCACCTCGGCGCCCACCTTCATCGTCGATCCCATCGACGGCACCACCAACTTCGTCCACGGCTACCCGCACGGCTTCTGCATCTCGCTCGGCCTCGCCCTCGACCGCCGCCCCGCCGTCGGTGTCGTCTACAACCCCGCGCTCGACACTTTGTGGACGGCCATCAAGGGCCAGGGCGCTTACTGCCAGCGCAACGCCTCGCAAGAAGCTGGAAAGGGGCAGGGGCCCAAGCAAAAGCTGCCATTGAACGGCGGTCAACCACTTGGTAATCTGTCTACGGCGCTGGTCGCCGTCGAGTGGGGCAGCCAGAGAGATGGAAACAACTTTGATATCAAGACGAGAGTGTTCAGGCAGTTGACTGCCTCCAAGGAGAATGGAGGCAGCATGGTGCATTCCCTGAGGAGTCTGGGCAGCGCGGCGCTGAATATTTGCGCGGTGGCGGCGGGTCAGGTAGATATGTACTGGGAGGGCGGGTGTTATGCGTGGGATGTGTGCGCGGGTTGGTGTATCCTGGAGGAAAGCGGCGGGATCATGGTTAGTGGGAATCCCGGGGATTGGAACCCGGAGCTGGATTCGAGACTGTATTTGGCTGTGAGGGGGGCGGAGAGCGGGCAGAAGGAGATCGTGGAGGAGTTTTGGGGGGTTATTGGGGAGGATAAGATGGATTATAAGCATTAGAGTTAATGGGGGGTAACAGTTGGAGAGGTAATGGATGGGTACGGGTTTAGGTTATAAATATTGGGAGCAGTAATGAGCACTGCATTGCGGGTTTGGAAGTATGCGGCACGCAGGTCCGGGATTATCATTAGAAGTGCTGGCTGGGTAAGGGTTCATAATTCTAGCAAAGGGCCGTTCAGGTTTCGCATATCGTGCGAGACAACTGTGCCATAAACAAAAAGGAAAAGTGATTTTGTCCTGGAAAGCTGTCGCAACGACAAGCGACATTTACATGGCAAAAAGTTCGAAAAAAAAGAAGTTAACATGTGATCCGACTGAGGCTCGATCTCAGGACCTTCAGTGTGTTAGACTGACGTGATAACCAACTACACCATCGGACCGTTGTTGTGAATAAAGATTTCGTGCGCTTTTATTGCTCATAAAGCAAAATCTGCTAATTTTCATATTCTGGAATGTCGCTCTTTCTTCCAATGCTGGAAGGAGTCGATACCAACTGCTGATAGTTGAGCTGGTTGGTTTGCCAAGTGAGCACCTGGGTTATATACTATGTGATCTGATCCATTTTGGAGGCTAACTAGGGAAGAACCATATATCTGTTGTTTTTTAAGGAGGCTATTTCGAGTTCAGCTAAAAAGTCGAACAGATGGCGAGCCTCACAATGTGCAACTCGGCCTTCGACGCCAAGTTGCCATTGTTTGGATGGGAAAAGGGGCTCAGGGGTCAACAAAAAGTGGAGCCCTATGCACCACGAAGCTACGGCAAGGCACAAAGCCATGTGCGCACATCCGTCGGCCCCCCGGTCCTGTTGCGAGGCGGGCATCATCCACCGACAGAGAGCTTGGACGGATCCGCCTGACAACTTCCCACTGTAATTACACCGCGCTACGGGGCTGTACACTTGCAACAACCCGACCTGATTTCCTCGAGATACCCTCAACCCAATCGAATTCATTCACATTGACCGAGTGTCATCTCCCGCATAGTCCAGCTTATCTCCGTGACCGTCTCGCCTAATTGAACGTCAATTGTTCCCATCATCTCGAGGACGGTCAATCAGCAGTCAGTCCCGTCGACGACCGCATCATCACTACCCGACAGGAACCCGAAGCCGTCATCCCCGGACCTAGGTTGCCATTGCGATTCACAGCCCTTCGACTCCAGAGGCGGCTACTCGCCAACTTTCCAACTCACTTACACGACGTATAAATCACTCCGAAACCAACCGCGACAATGCCGCCAAAAATCGAAGCGCAGGAAATCGAGACGTACTGGAACATCTTCTCGGCACGAACAAATGGCGGCAAGTTCCTGACGGGCGAGCAGGCGGCGCCCGTGCTAAAGAACAGTGGCCTGCGCGATGACCAGCTGGAGCGCGTGTGGGATCTGGCCGATGTGGACAATGACGGAAACCTTGATTTCGAGGAGTTCTGCGTTGCGATGAGGGTCATTTTTGATCTTTTGAACGGGGTTCGTTTTTACCTTAGCCTCCCTGCCTGAAGACGCGAGCGAGGAAGCAGCAACGGCAGTATCAGTATCAGAGAACTAACACGGGACGACGACGGAAACACAGGAATACGCAGATGTCCCGACAACCCTCCCAGACTGGCTTGTCCCCGAATCCAAAGCCCACCTGGTGCAAGCGAACCGCGCGCTAACCGGCAAGGCGCCGAAATTCGAGCAAGTCGAAGATGAAGATGATACCCCTGGCTTGAAGGATGGGTTCGACTGGTACATGAGCCCGGCGGATAAGTCCAAGTACGAGCAGATCTATCAAGAAAACCGGGATATGCGCGGCGAGGTTTCCTGTATGTTTGACTTTCCCTTCCCTTCCCTTCCCACTCCTACCCTATGCTAACCTACCCGCTTTTCCACAGTCGCCGCCCTCCAAGACCTCTACGACTCCCTCTCCGTCCCCGATACCGACATCCGCTCCGCCTGGAACCTGATCAACCCTTTGGCCTCATCGACCATCAACAAAGACGCCTGCCTCGCCTTCCTGCACATCCTCAACTACCGGCACGAAGGGTTCCGCATCCCGCGTACCGTGCCCGCCTCTCTGCGCGCCTCCTTCGAGCGCAACAAGATCACCTACAACGTCAACGACCCCTCCCAATCGCGCTGGGCCCAAAAGGCCGACGACGAGACCTCGACCGGTCGCAAGGCCAAGTTTGGCGACCAGTACCTGACGCGCCTGGGCCGGTCCTCCTTCAAGACGGCCGGCACCGATTTTTCCTCTGAACAGACGGACGACCAGTGGGAGGAGGTCCGCCTCAAAAAACAGTTGGCCGAGTTGGAGGAGAAGATGGCCAAGGTCGAGGAGGCGGCGAACCGTCGCAGGGGCGGGAAGAGGGATACGAAGCCGGCCCTTGTGAAAAGGGAGTTGGAGCAGCTGCTGGATTATAAGCGCAAGGAGCTGAGAGATTTGGAGGAGGGCAAGGGGAAGGCGGCGGCGGGTGGGAGCTTGAAGAGCGTGGCGGATGATTTGGCGACGGTCAAGGAGCAGGTGGAGGGGCTGGAGGCGCATTTGAGGAGTAGGCAAGAGGTGTTGGAGCAGTTGAGGAGGGAGATCGAGGAGGAGAAGGTTGGGAGGTAATGAGGTGGGTTGAAAAGAGAGAGAACGGGTTGGGATATCTTGTTGGGTTCCTCAAGATGAGGACCAGGGGCAGTTTGCCGGGTTCCCGGGACATGATCGATTGGGGTTTATTTACTTGCGTTCATCTTTCTAAAACAGCATAATCTCTTAATGGTATTCAGTGGAGTAGAAGGAAGCTGCCTGAAGGGCCATATCTTGAGTCCGGGCACTTATGACATGACTGCAGTGGTGTTTCATCCCATCGGTCATCACACGGCACAACCGCTCACACCGGCAAAATCCTTAATATTTGCGTCAAGTGACGAGAAACCAAATATTTCGACGTGCTATTCCAAGTCTTGGCGTACTGGTGCTTGTAATATGTCAAGATATTCCCTACCGACGGGAGCATGTAGGCTCAAGCCAGTAGTATATCGGTGCGGGTTGCTGGAAATGGATCATACACGCATATAAACAGCAATAGTCGTTAATTAATTAACACGGATCATGCAGTTCCTGGACTATCACCTGAGCCCATAATCATATGCATAGAGTAAGGCTGCCAGGTCAGAAAGATGGGAGTTGAAGAGGGTGTTGTAGATGTTATCATAGGATCGATAACTACAAGTGGGGCTAATGACGCTCATGGTCACATGGAAGAGCTTCCAGGGGAAAGGGACCCCTCCCACACACACTCACTGCTGGAAAGTCCACAACAGCGCAGTATTAACTCCGCAGTTTGGAGCCTGGAAGGTACCTACCCCGCCAATCCGGTTCGAGAGTTGCATTTCATCCCATCCTTGGATCCTCAACAAGTTGTCGTGCAGTGTTGTACTGTGAGGGTACAATGTGCACTAAGGAACTTGTTTGGCGTACTTAAAAGAACCGTCCTGCTATAACCCTCAATCTCCCGAACTCTTCTCTCTCCTTTCCACTCTCTCCATCCGTTCCATCTCCAAGTTCCATATACCGTAAGTACACAACTGCCTCTACCCAAAACACCATCGCGACACGCAACTACGTCCGAGTCTCTAGCTAACCCAAAGCTATTACCTATACCAACAGCAAACCAACCAAACCCACCAACCCCCCAACAACAATCAAAATGTCTGCCGCTTTCGAGAAGGCCGTTGCCGATTCCAAGAAGCTTACTTCCAAGCCTTCTAACGATGATCTCCTCGAGATTTATGGTGCGTCGCGCCCACGTCCCGTCCCGGCCCACTCCCATACTCTCTTGCCCTCGCTGGACGAACCATGAAGTAGCCGAGGTCCTACCAGGCTCATGTGATCGATCGAACAGAGCTGGGGCGTCGGAGCTCCAACAAGACTCGACAACCACGGGCAAGGCAAGGCAGCTAGCTAACCATCCTTCTTCGTTCATCCACAGCTCTCTACAAGGTCGCCACCGGCGCCGACTTCTCCAAGGCTGACAAGCCTGGCGTGTTCGACCTGAAGGTTCGTTTTCTGTATTCCGTCACTCATCCCATCCCATCTCTCCCCCCATCACGCCCGCGCTCTTCCTCTTCTTTAGTCGTTCGAGTCACGAACCTCCTTCCACCTGTCCACCCGTCCATCCACCCGTACCACAACCCACCCATCGCGCAACCCGTCCCTACCCACCAAACTCCATGCCATGCCACGAAACCAAACATCCACCCACCCTCCTCTATACGCCCAACTACGGACTACGGAAGCTAACATGACATTCTCCCCCTAAAAATAGGGCAAGGCCAAGTACAACGCCTGGTCCAAGATCAACGACGAGGGTCTTTCCGCCGAGGAGGCCCAGGCCAAGTACGTTGCCAAGGTCGAGGAGATGAAGACCCAGTACGGCTACGACGAGAACAAGGCCCCCGAGGCTGTTGGCTCCAACTAAAAGCGAGCGAGCTTAGATAGATACCCGTTGTTGAAAAGAGCTTATAATATGATATAATGCCATTTATGACAGACAAAAAGATTCCCGAAAAAGTCTAAAGAGTTGATGTTCGAATGTGTTTGAGGCTATGGTATGACGGTGTGCATGGTTTGCTTGCGGAGACCGGTCCAGACCAGACCGGTGACGGGAAGATTAGGGGAGGGCAGAGCCTCGTGCTAGGTAGTAGGATGGAAGTTCGTGGCTCGGTTTCACGAGAGATGTCGTGTTGAGCTTTGTCTGGATGGGCAAGCCTGCGATTCTTTATTCCGGAGCTCAGTAGTTGGCTATTCTTGACATTTTGTTTGCATGACATGCAGACATTCATGACGAGGTAGGTACCTACGTAGCTCAGACTACCCACATACATACAGTACATCTTGTCTAAATGTCGCGATCTGCAAACAAGCAATTTCTCCGGTTTTCCTGCGGGTTCAGTTACACTACATTTGAAACGGCTGTGGTATCCCGTCTGTACATGACGTGGGGGGATGACACAGCACTTTGAGCCGCGTCTTGAAGCATATCGGTATGTGTAGGAGGAAAACAAAAAGGGGTATCATTCAACATCAGACCGAAAGTGTCACATCCAGCCACTTCTCAGCTCTGAGCCGTTCCGCATCACTCATGTCGCCAAACCTGCCCCATCCAATCCGGCTCCAAGTGGTTCGCCGTGGCAACCCAAGGTACCTCTTGCGGCCCGTACCGCTGCAATGGGAGGTTATATGGCATTCGCAAGCCCACCACCACTGTTGACTCGTCCTCCTCCTCATCACCACCTGCACCTCCATCCTCGCCGTCTCTTGTGGCTGACTTGGTGCCGCCCCTTTCCCCAGCCAAAGACGTTCCATCCTTACTACTACTTAGACCCGTAGGGGTATCCGTAAGAAAAGTAGGTACCATCACCGCTTTCCTCTTTTCACCACCACCACTATCCGCAAACAACTCGGGCCAAACCATCACCCCAATCTCATAAGAACATATACGCACCTGCGGCTCGCCGGCATTGTTCTTACTCTGCGCGTCACCCCAGGCTTGTTTAGAAAGGTTGGCTGATGTGAGCAGAGCCCAGTCAATCCGGTCTTTGGTCTTCTGGTTGGTATAGCGAATGAAGGTTTTGATATGCGGAGCCGCGCGTTGGCGGCCTGCTTCACGGATGGGTACGGTGGTAGTCGTATCATCACCTCCATCAGCAGAGTCATTCGCCCAGTGACAGAAGATTGGTCTCAAATACTGGAGCTGTTTAGCTTGTTGAGCAGACTGGATCTTGGTGTGGATGGATCCTCCGGACGAATAGCCGTCGAGGGACTTCCTGATTTCGTCGGGCGTGGGGAAGATGACTTTGAAGTCTGGCTTTTTTGATGATGATGACAGGGTCTTGGGGCCCTGCGAACCGCTGAGTGCTTCGAAAAGAGTGCTTTTGAGCCAGTTGTCTGTTGGGCCGAGGGTCGCGATGGAGGATATTTGAATTACCATTTCGGCTTTTTCGCTTTTGTTGTGATCACGGTCCGCCGTTTGACGGACGGGAACCGACTTGAGAGTTTCTTTCATGGCAGCCCAGCCCCACCGGGTCGGGAAGTTGTCGACTAGAGAGTGTCGTCCTGGAACACTAGCGATCAGTGAGCCGCGTATTGATGAGAAGTCATACTTGGAGAGTTGGTCAACGAGAGGCTTGCAGGCAGTCCGGTATGAGCGTAGATAGTTCAGAAAGTCAATCTCGAACTTCTCACCAGAGCCAGCAGCGGGTGGTGAGGACCGAGTAGAGGATGCAGGCTGCTGAGTGTCTGCTTTGAGAAGGGGAAGTCGGGGAGATATCCAGGCGCCATTTGTCATGTTACCCCAGTCTTTCGGGATCAGATTCGCTGTGTGGATGATGATTTCCGCTGTATCATCTAATCGGAAAAGAACCATCAATTTGCTGTGATGGGTGCCGAAAGGCTCAGGGAGATAGGCATGATGTGTGGTGATATTGGGGTAGCGATCGGTGTCAGACTAGTTGCTTGGTTAGTACTGAACAACATCATGAAGTGAGATTTCAACTTGGACATACCTGTATTTGCAGCCTATTGGGATCCTCCTTCTTCCAAAAGCCGTGGACAACATGGACTTTGACTAGATGGCGAATGTCTTCGTCAAACGCGTTCATGAGGAAGTCAATATTGTGAAGGTAGTTGAACTCCCAACACTCTATGATCAGCGGGTCACCGAGAAGGTGCTTGAGTGATATGGTATCCTTGTTGGAAGCCTGTCCTAGTGAGCGAATTGTGGTAAGGTGAAACGGCGACTTGACGATCCTTTGAGATGGACATTGCTGCAGTTCTGTCTGCTGTTCTGTCTGCCGTTCTGCCTGCTCTTCTGACTGATGTTCTACCTGCTGTTCGGCCGGAAGCGACTCTCTCTTTTCTGAGCTTGTCCGGGGTTTCTTGAGTGGAGGGCTGACAGCACGACTGAGAGATCGCGGTGTTACCCTGCTACTTCCGCCTTTCTGGGCCTCATCAGCTTCACCCAGGTCAATATCTTTGACTATCCTTTTTGACGGACGGTTGTTCTGCATTGTGGTCGACACAGGCGTAGCAAGTCCACGCACAATCAGGTTGAGACTTCGATGGTGGACACTTGGAAGTCGACGGATGAGAGCTAAATGGATGTATCTTGGCAGGCTTGTGTAAATTTTGAGCATGAGATCATGTCTTAACCACAGGTAGACTTTGTGGTGGTTTTCTTCATTGCTCTTTCCGAGACAGTGTCTTTGATGTTTGTTGTTGTTGTTGTTGTTGTCAAGAGAGGTTGCAGTCCAGTGTTGTTGTTGTTGTTGTTGTTGTTTGTTGTTGTTGTTGTTGTTGTTGGCGTTGTTGTTGTTGTTGTTGTTGCCGTTCCTTCCCTTCTGCCCAGCTGCCCAGCTGTTGTCTGCTAAGGGTGACTCCTTCCCAATGCGTGATAGTCCAATTCGAAGTCCTCAAATTCGGCTTTTGAGGGATTGAAAAACAGAGGTACGTCCTCTGGTTCCTTTAATAACCACAGACCCTCTTTGCGTGAGGACTAACAAGTGGTGCAAAAACTCTTATAGAAGTCCAAGTTGGTGATGAAGTACCGTATAACAGCCAGCAAAAAATCCGTCGTGAACAGGCGTTTCAGGGAGTCAAACTGTCAGCCAGTTGTTAACAATGGAAGTAACCACAGAAACCTTGAGATTTCAGTCCTGGTTGAAATAATGATCTTTTCCAAAAGAAACAATGGGTTCGAATGTTGGTTACCCTCGCTCACTCGACAACATGAAATGGACTGTGTTGTCGTCGGTTGAATGGCCAACTCCAACCAGCTTGGGGAAGTGTTTATTTCAGCCTCCTGTGGCTTGGCTCGGTTCCCGCGACGTGTGCCCCACCGACAAGTCTTGGCTGAAATCGTTCTAGCCCCCTGGGCGGGCCCTGAGAGTCCAGGGGCCAGCACGGCCGGTCGCCATTGCCTCGATCGCCTCCTGAATCCCTTTGACCCCCTGGCCCCCCGTCGCCTGAAGCAAGTAGCGGGTGTGAGGTGGAATTGTCCCCATGCCGCCAGCAGACCAACACCACCTCCGATTCTACTATTTTCAAAAGCGGTTTCGTCTCGCATCTTTTGGTTGTTGACTGTGAACACCGCTCAGTGCACCGTATTCCCCCACGCCACCATCGACGACCATCCCGTCGCGATCGAGCCGATATCACGAATTGGGTTCGATTAGGTTTCCCCCCGGCGTATTTTCCACCCAGGCGGTGCTGGTTCACTCTTCGATGCAGTGTGCGACAACCAGGCCCCGACATTGTTAAACAACATCACAACTTATCGCTTTTACATACCTGGCCACGACCATGAGGTGGCTTCCCCTTTTCTTGGGCGCGGCCCGTCTGGCCGTTGCCGCATCAACCACCACAACAACAGAAGCAGAGGACGACGTGGCAGAGTACACCAAGTTCAACGATGTATCGATACCACCACTTATCGAGCTCACCCCCGACAATTGGGAGAAGGAATCGAAAGCCAGCAAGTGGCTGATGGTTAAGCACTACAGGTATTTGTGCCGCCCCCATTGCTTGGTCTTTGAGACCCAGGTCTGGTAAGCATGCGACCGCGTTAGCTGACACCTCGCACCTGCAGCCCCTACTGCCCCCACTGCATTGACTTTGCTCCTACATATCAAACATTATACGAGTTCTACTACACATCAAAGCCCGTCGGAAACGAGAACGCGAACTTTACCAACTTCTACGACTTCCGCTTCGGCACCATCAACTGCGTGGCGTACTACGATCTGTGCAGCGCGCACAAGGCATCTTCCTACCCAACGACTACTCTCTACAAGAATGGCGAACAGGCCGAGACTCTTAAGGGCGTCAAGTCCATGGTTGTTCTGAGCGAGGTTGTAGAAAAGGCTCTTGAAGAGACCAAGCCCGGAACGAGACCCGCGAAGCTCGAGCTCCCCAAGCCCGGCGATACCTCTGCTCCTGGCTTTGTCTCCAAGGTCGGCACCCTCAAGGAGACCACCGAGGAGGCTACCAAGGTTGATTCCGCCAAGGATGTGCCCAAGGTCGATCTCGTCAAGGACTCCGCCAAGGTCGAACAACCTGAGAAGGATACTTTTATCACCGGAAACGACGAGTACTTGATGCCTACTCCCAAGGCCGAGGAGAAGCCCATGGACAAGGTTGTGGAAAAGGTGGCGGACAAGGCCACGGAAACCAAGGCCGCCTCCAAGGCGGACCCTTCTGTTGAGGCCAAGGCCAAGATCGAGAAGGCCAAGGAGGAGGAGAAGAAGTCTACGCCTGCTGCTTACTATGAGGCCCCTGCTGCCGCTGCCGCTGCCGCTGCCTCCATCAAGGGCAACAAGCCCAAGTCTACTCCTAACCCCAATGGTATCTCTCAGCCCCTCACTGCCGAGAGCTTCCAGAGCCAGGTCACCATGACCCAGGAGCCTTGGTTCATCAAGTTCTACGCCCCTTGGTGCCATCACTGCCAAGCCATGGCCGCCAACTGGGCTCAGGTCGCTCGCGAGATGAAGGGCCGCCTCAACATTGGCGAGGTTAACTGTGAGCAGGAGCAGCGCCTCTGCAAGGACGTCCGCGTCACCGGTTACCCCACCATTCAGTTTTTCCGTGGAGGCGAGCGCGTCGAGTACACTGGCCTCCGTGGTCTCGGCGATTTCCTTGCCTATGCCGAGAAGGCAATTGACATCTCCAAGGGCGTACAAGACGTGGATGCTGCTTCTTTCAAGGCTCTCGAGGAGAAGGAGGAGGTCATCTTTGTTTACTTCTACGATCATGCCACCACCACCGAGGACTTCCTCGCCCTTGAGCGTCTTCCTCTCAGCCTTATCGGCCGTGCCAAGCTCGTCAAGACCCGCGACCCCGAAATGTACGATCGCTTCAAGATCACCACCTGGCCCCGTCTGCTCGTCTCTCGCGAGGGCCGCCCCACTTATTACCAGCCCCTCACACCCAACGAGATGCGCGGCACTCGCCAGGTTCTTAATTGGATGAAGTCCGTTTGGCTGCCCATCGTTCCCGAGATGACCGCCTCCAACGCCCGCGAGATCATGGATGGCAAGATCGTTGTCCTCGGACTCCTTAACAGAGATGACGAGGAGTCGTTCACTGGCGCCATTCGCGAGATGAAGTCGGCCGCCAACGAGTGGATGGATAAGCAGATCCAGCTCTTCCAGCTGGAAAGGCAGGAGCTCCGTAACGCGAAGCAGCTGCGCATCGAGGAGGCCGAGGACCGCAACGACCAGCGTGCTTTGCGCAACGCTAAGAACATCCGCATCAACATGGACAGGGCGGACAGGAAGGAGATTACCTTTGCTTGGGTTGATGGCACTTTCTGGCAGAGGTGGATCAGGACCACGTACGGTATTGATGTCAAGGATACTGGTGACCGGATCATCATCAACGATGAGGATGTAAGTTTTTTTACCCCCCACCCATTTCACAGCTTTTAAGCCAGACTCGTTGAACACTTGCTGACATACTACTTTCCCAATGCAGAACCGCCGCTACTGGGACCAGACCACCACCGGCAACCCCATCGTCCCCAGCCGCACCTCCATCCTCGAGACCATCACCAAGATCTCCCAGAACCCGCTCAACATCAAGCCCAAGCTCACCATCTCCGCCTTTGAGAAGATCTTCTTCGACATCCGCATGACCTTCTCGGAGCACCCCTACCTTACCATGGGCTGCATCCTCGGCATCGCCTTCGGCTGCCTCTCGTGGTTCCGCAACAGCGCTCGCGCCCAGAGGAGGGGCACCCACTTCAAGCTGGAGGAGGGCGGTGTTAGTGCTCCTACCGAGAAGGGAAGCTCCGGCGGCTTCATTCAAAGCGTGTTTGGCGGCAGCGGTGGTAGCAGCAATGGACCCAAGGCCGATTAAGTTACGCTCTTATCGGTCTTGTCTAATGTTGTGTGTGTTGTGTTGGTTTATAACTTTCATCGGGGAAGAAAATGATCTGGATTTTACATATGTTGCACGCGGTGGAGGTGCAAAATTGTAGTTAGTTAATGACTGATGGTTGTGTGTGTGTGTGGAGAAAGACGAATGAGGAGAGGCAGCGGAGGAAATTTGTGTATAATTGCGATTTTGGGGGACGGGGAGGAAGGGATGGATAGAAGGGATATCTGGAAGGACAGAGCATCACTGGGGGCTTTTGGCTTATTAAAAGGAAAACTGAACTCAAAGCCTTCTTTGACTGGGCATTGGTATTGATATTATTACACTTCTTGTTTTTTTCTTCCTTGGCCATGACTTTTTATATATTCCATTACACTAGGTTACTTCAGTTCCGGTGTTACTCCTCGTATCAAGCAAGTACTTGGAGATACTCCTTTGTGTAGAATAGAGTTGGCGTGTAGGATATATTGTTGAATCCGCTCGTAATTTGAGAGGTGAAAGAGCTCTGGCCCTTGACCCGTGGTTTCGGGAGATTGACCATTCGTTGGCTGGTAGAGGTAGGTGGCCGCATATGCACCATGTTGAAGATTCGGTTATCACCCTGACGACGACGTGTGTAGTGTTCAAATAAGACAACTACATCGTGGTTTTTCTCTGCGTGTATGGCACAGGAGAACCTAAACCACGAAAAAGAACATCAATAATAAGGTACCCCCTTTTCCTTCTTTTTCGAACGACAACGCTTCGTGTGCGCGAGCGTCTTCCCAGCCCTCAACCATAGTTTTGACAAGCAGAGAGAAAAGCTAAAAGATTAAGCATACAGTCGTCTTAACCACCCAAATCCTTTCCCCATGTACGCAAATTTTGGAGCAGGTCATGATCAAAACCGATCACGAACGAC